TTCTGTGTTCCAATCAAAACACACTACTAGTTCTTCCCCATGCTTTCTCTCCTGCCCTAGTGCATTAGGACAAGCCGCCTCGGCCTGAAATGCACCACTCCCTCCTCTGTATCAAACAGGGTGCTACTCATCTTTCAAAGTTGGGTTCAGGTGCTACTTCCTACATACAGCCTTCTCCAATCCTTCAAGATGTTAGTGCTTTCTTCTATTTATTTGTGTGCATATAGTGTTCTTCCAACTTTTCTTCCTACTTCAGGAAATGTAAAATCATTAAGATCAGGCACTGATTTGGTTTTGCCTTTATATTCTCAGGGCTGGCACTGAGTTGTATAAACAGAATAGGCACTCAATAAATGCTTGTGAGTTGAATTGAATTATGCAACTTAGTATAATATCCTTTGTTTGGAACAAATGTATGAAGGAAAATGATATCCAAAGGGAAGTACAGCTATCCCTTCCACATCACAATTTTTCCCATCACTGTTTCAATGTATCATGGGTTGGCATAAGAAATTAAATGGGAATTTGGGGGGAGTTTTGAGGAAGCCACAGAGAATACACAAAGGCCAGCAGACAACATAGAAGTTTGGAAACTCAGAAATGCATAAAATATATGTATAATATTGTATAATATCAACATATTTTACATTTCAATTCCATGGTAATTGAGACTTCTTCTCTGGTACAAAGGGAGGGCCAAAAATTTTTATGCAGATTTTCCAGATTGCAGGAGCACTGCAGTGTTAACCCCTATAATGTGGAAGGAATAACTGTAGCTGGTATCCTATACACATGGGCAAAGTTTAGTTGAATTCTATTTGTCTATCTCTACTCACAATCCTCAGCAAACATTCTCACCTTGTGAGAGTTCTCTATTCTCTCATATCTTCATTGCTAAAGGATTTCCTTTGGGTTCCTTTAAAAGGATTTCACCAAGCAAAGCCTGGCTAAGGACTTGCCAGATATGTTGGAAAGAGGATCCTTGTCCAGTTAGAAGTTAAACTAATGACCTCTCAGGTCCCTTCCAACACCCACTCAGAAACTCCAACTTCAATGGAATTTCTTTACTCACCATTTATGCTTGAAAAACCTCAAAGATAAAATTCTTTTATCAAAGACTCTCTATGTTCAGGAGGATGTGTATGGACATGTAATTCATAGATATAAGCATACATATATACACATAGGTATACATACACACACACACACACACACACACACACACACTCATATATAATTCGTGTCACCGAAAACTTTCAAGTCTTTCTGAGGATTGTGAACAAGTAATCTGCCTAATTAGATGGACACAGTTGCAGGACAACTTAATGGCCAATGCCAATGTGTGCATAAGACCTATAAAGCCTGAAAATGAGACTTTTCTGATAGAGGACAATTACAAAGTGAAGACATTGGACACAGTAATATCCCCCACATTGATTATTTAAGGTGAGTAAAAACAATTTGTTCCAGATGAACTGGCTTTTGCGCTGTAGAATTGAGCTTTGGCTGAAAGTTTATGCAGCCTTTATGAGATACCTGTTCTAATTTGACTGATGGTCTATTGGAGTCCTAAATTATGAAATGCATTCTAGAGAAGCTCAAGGGGAGATAAAAGGACAAAGAATTTTATGTTTGTCAAAATACTTGATATCCTGTACCATCCATTTGGTAGGTAGATGTGACTCCTCAAAGCCTGAGTATTTTCAACTTCTTACTGAAATCAGGTAGTCAGTCAATCAATAAACCTACTACTACAGTTAAGAACCTATTATGTGCCAGGCTCCATTGCCTAGTTTCACCGGTAGTAAATCTTCACTAGATAGATTACATAAGCTATTAAAGGGACTTTTTCTTCCAGTAAGAAAGATGCCTCAGTAGTCTTTTGAAGAATTGGCTATCAAAATGTAATCAATAACTTCCAGAAATTCATATGTAATCTCTTGATTTTTTCCCCTTTAAGTTGTAAACTAGTTTATATGATTGCAGGAAAAGGTTTGAGATAATCAATTGTAGTCTTGCCAGTGGAGATGGCCCTGGGTGGGAAGCTGGGAAACCAGGCTTTGTCCATGGCTCTGTATCTGGCTTACAAGTCTCTTTTAATTTCTTTGTAGCTCAGTTTCACCATTGCATAAATTGGGAAAATATTTTTCCCCACTAACTTGTAAGGGTTAATGACAATGCTGGAACACTCATAGTGCTTGGCCCAAAAAGGCCAGCTGCATAGGACTCTCTCTCCAATGGGGGAGATTGATTACTCAATGTCCCAAGCCTGCATGGGGGTAGGTAGTATTAGTGGGAACAGGAGTAAGTAAATAGGGACCTGATCTCTTCTGGCTTCCAACTTCAAGAGGGAAGATGTGTGATTCTAACCTCTTGAACATGAAGGAAGAAAGATTCTGGGTAGAAGCCAACATTTAGAATTTCAATCTTGTCCTATTTCAAATCTGTTATACTAGAGACTTTGAGGAATTTCCCCTTGGGTGGCATCTCTATCTTTTGTTGAGCTGAGTGATATTATTATGAAAGGGAGAGCTCATTCAGTCTAGATTGTCTGGCATATATTTTTATATGTATACTTGCTCTGATTTATGTTTTGCTCTTGACTGAGATAAATGAGTTTATTTGCTATTTGCTGTGTATGTTCATTGTGGAACTTGCTTCTGATAGGAAGGGCGTCAAGTCCTGGATATTGCTTCCCCATTAAGGAACAAGAGTCAGGAGTTTAGCATGAACCTAAAAATTACTTTTCCTAAATTAATACTATCTAAAGAATTAGATAGATAGAACTATAGACGAGTACTCTTTCTCTCTGAGGAGAGCAGAATGGCCAACTTCTGGTGCCAATCTCCTGCTTCCCACTCTGGCAGGAATGAAGTATGCAGAAGTGTGGAGGGAAGAGATGATGGTGATGTCTATGCTTGTCTTCTTGCAAACCATCTCTAGAAAAACTTTTGTATACATACATAATCTGCATACAGCAAGCTACCACACTCTTACACACTCATACAGACCTGCAATCTCATCTAGTTTGAAGTTTTTACCAACAATGCAGATCACAACCTATCTATGCTTCTCATCCTATGCAACCCTTGTCTGGGTCCTTCCATAAGATTGCCACAGTGGGATCCATCCAATGTGCTGGGAACCTTCCTCACTTCCTCTTTTTCTTTCTTTTTTCTTTTTTTTTGTTTGGCTAGGCAATGGGGTTAAGTCACTTGCCCAGGGTTACGTAGCTAGTAAGTATCAAGTGTCTGAGGCAGTCCTTCTGACTGCAGGGCCAGTGCTCTATCCACTGTACCAACCTAACTGCCTCCCTCACTTCCTGTTAACATCATGAGCTTCCCAGTGGAGCCTATGGATTTTCCATTCCTTACTTGGCCTGTGTGACCATCTTCCTGAACTTCCATACTTTTCTTTGATGACACCTTTTTATTATGCTTCTCTTTCATCATGACCTGTACAGTCTATTCAAAATAACATGCATTTATTATTTATTAAGTCACATTTGTGTAGTATAGAATCATAGGGGTCATGGATTTAGAACCAAAAGGAATGTCATAGTCTCCATTGACCAGCCTCCTCATTTTATGGGTGAGGAAACTCAGGCCTAATAGAGTTAACTGTCTTGACCAAAATCATATAAGTTGTATATGTGAGAGAAAGGAATTGAACTTACGTTTTGGTGTTGAATCTATGATCTTATGGTGATTTTTTGTTGTTATTGTTGTTGTTTTTTTTGGGGGGGTTGGCAATTGGGGTGAAATGATTTGCCCAGGGTCACACAGCTAGTAAGTGTCAAGTGTTTGGTCTGAGGCCCCGTTTGAACTCAGGTCCTCCTGACTTCAGGGCCTGTACACTATCCACTGCACTACCTAACTGTACCTGATCTTATGTTTTTAAGATCAGCCATTTTTACCACACTGCATCTTGAGAAGGCAAGCTATCTGGACAGGAAGGATAACAGTTGGGTCCATATTTAGCAACTAAATTTAAAGAACAGGGAACTAGGATATAGGCTTTCTGAAGCGTCGTTGATACTTTTGCATGACTCTGAAGGCCACATATGAAATTCATGTTTCTGTCATCAGAGGTAATTTAGGTGTGATGATGTACATGATTCTTTTCCCTCTAAATTGAATTTACTGGTATGTGATGGCACAGAGACAGCCTAATGAAGTGAATCACAGCTTGGCAAATCATTCCAGAAATAGTCATGGGAATTAAAACAACAACAACAACGACTCAGCTTTGCGAAAGTGAGAAGAATGTGAGCCAATCCTGAGTGACTTCCTTTTCACACACACAAAAATAAATAATAAAACAAAATATGGAGAAGGAAAAGGATGAAAATTTGATACATGAAATTCTTAACTAGATGACTCCAAATTCCATTTCCTAAGAGGAAAAGAATCAATAACCAGAGAAGGTTTTAAGTGTTTTACTGATTCCAGATGCTAACTGTTCTACACTATAAAGTCCTACTTTACTGCATCTCTCCCTGGCAGAGAATTTATCTATTATCGCTCAGGTTGAGGAAACATCCTACTACTGATTTGGACCTGTATATTTTTCCACAGGCTTTTGCGTTCCCCTGCTTGCTTTTTGCTAGCATACTGCATACAGTAATCATATTGCCATAATTGTAATCAAACCACTTTTTTAATTAGTCCCCAACCCAGGGCTCCCATCTACACCCAGCATTTTAACTTACTATGCAGAGATGTAAAATATATCTCCATGAGTTAACAGTAGTATCATAAATACTCCATTATGGGATATTAATGAAAGGGACTGCCAAGGTATCCATCGTGGTAGCATAGCAAAGGGCCCATAAAAAGACAATAAATCAAGGACTCTTAACGACTGATCCACTGCACTTCCTATTATTAAAAACGGGACCCAGGTTAGATATATTGTTCTAGGTTCTAAGAGAACCACCGGGATGCTGATACACAGAGCAGAAACAGCCAACGTAAGGACAGTGAAGACTGCCCACTTACCCTGATGGACTCCTGACACCTTTATGTGCAGTGGAGATCCCTTGCACTACCAAGACACATCTGTTAGCTCCTCTCCATATGGTCTGTGAAAAGATAGAGGGAGGGGGAAGTGAACAGGTTCACTGTAGATGGGGTGGCTGTGAGAAGACCGAAGGATGTCACATTCTGAACAACGGTTGGCATTGTCATGCCCCCCAAAGCACTCATTTGTCACACTGTGTATGGACTCGACTGAGCAAGCAGTTGGATAATCAGTCTGCAAATGATGAATCCCCAGGGTCAGTCCCTGCTTTGTGCTTAAAGCTGTGTCTGTGTTCTCTGGTCCAGGTAGGGAATGTCTGTTCTACACACAGCACCCCTCTTCATTCTTCTGCGAAACACAGCCAAAGCAGGGTTTCATGGTCTGGCATTTCCTCAGAAGGAGGGCCTCTTTAGAAACATCAGAATGAGACACCATGGGGAATTTTAGCCTCTGGATGGGCTATAAAATAAATTCTTCAACAAAGACTATTTGCATAATGAAACTGTATCATCCACGGGAGATTTGGAAAATAATTGTCATGTATAAAACTAAACTACAGCTTAAAAACATGTTTTAGGGGGCAGATAAGGGAAGACTCCTAAATCCACATAGGGTCTTTCTGCTTGCCTTGGCTCCATTTCAGAATCCAGTGAGCTCATTAGAAAACAAAAGCTGTTTGCTCTTTCATCTGTGGACCAATTTTCATGATTTATCGAAGGTACCCTCCGATCTCCCCCTGGCCTCCTCCTACCCCGCCTTTACTTCGTAACCCATATTTCCAGATGCTCCTGTAACCTGCACTGTGGCAGTTAGTCATCAGGGAGCTGTGAGTCTCACGTACACCTTCTGACATGCAGTGACAACTGGCTAGCTCAGTCACCACTGACCTCTCCTTTAGAGGTAAGCAGTAGTTTCCTAAACAGAGTAGATTGTCCCTACTCATTCCTCCATCAAGAAAAGACCAAAGAAAAAAGATGAAGCAGAATTATGAAGCTTCCCGTCTATGTTTTCTTACTTATGGTTGGTACTATGTGAGGAACTCGGGATGAGATTTCTAAAGGGCAAATGTTTTTTTAAAAGACGTTCAAAATTTTGCTCTCTGGATTTTCAACACATTGCAATGACTTTCAAGGCCCTTGCTGCTCATTTTAAGTTGATTCTCTGAAATATGGGAAATTCTTTGTTATAATTTATAGGATCATACATTAAGAGTTACAAAGGACCTTAGGGGCCGTCTAGTGCAACCCCTTTGTTTTATTGATGAGGAAACTGAGGCCCATCATAGTAAAATGCCTTGCTGAAGGTCACAGAGATAGTAAACGATAGAAAAAAGATTCAAATGCAGGTCCCTTCATTCCAAATCCAGCCTGCTTTTCCACAGTTTTACACTGCACTAAAACATTCAGATTAAAGTTAAAGCATACTTTTAAGTGTAAATTTTAAATTTAAATTACAATTAAATTAGACTTAATTTAATTAGAATTTAAACTAGAATTCAAAATTCTAATAAATAGCATAACTAATGTTGTAATTTCAATAAGTATTTTCAGCTATTGTACATTTATTCTTAGTCTGTAAGAAAGACCTAAGTTCAAATCTGGTCTCAGACACTTACTAGTGGAGTGATCCTGTTTGCCTCAGTTCCTCATCTGTAAAATGAGCTAGAAAAAGAAATGGTGAACTGCTCCAGTACCTTTGCCAAGAAAACCTCAAGCGGGGTCACAGAGAGTCAGACATGACTGAAAATGACAAAAACAAGAAGAAGCAGTCTTGGACTGACCTTTTGGGGCACAATTCTGGGCCCTACTTGCAGAGACATTTGCATGTAGTAGAGTCAGAAGAGAACTATATTTGAGCCCCAGTCCTTATACTTACTAATTTTCTTACAATGCGCGAATAACTAAACCAGTCTGAGCCTCAGTTTCCTTAGCTATAAAAAGGGAATAACAGTACTTCAAATACCTACCTCACAGGGTTGTTACTATTTTTTAAAAGTGCTTTGCAAACCTTAAAGGGAGATAAATATGTATATATGTATAAACACATACACATATGTACATATGCATGTGTATGCATATGTATGTGTAAGTATATATATATATATATATATATATATTCATGTATATATTATTATCACAGCACTGAATCATCACTATCATCCTAAAAATACTGACACAATTGATTGCAAGGTACCAGATTAAGTGTTTAAATAACAGAAATCATTCAAGGAGTGTTTTTACAGAGTTGAATTACCATGTATAATACTACATACATTTTTGCTCCCTTCTCCCAACCCTAACCACCTGCTTCTGGATGCAAGAAGGGCTTGAGGGGCCTTTAATTCTCTCTTCTCCTCTATGAGTAGATGATTAAAGGAAATTGCCACTTAAAATGATCAGCGACTCCACACCGCTGTGTGTGTCTGTTACCACCACCAACCACCTCAGGAAGTACAGACCTTGTGAGCTGAGCTTTGGGCTCGCGTTCAACGTGCAGAATAGAGCCCCTTCAAGTAATTGGTCATTATGATATATTTAGAGTTATTCCTTTCATTATTATGGGTACTGAAGATGTAGCCAATATCCAATTACTGATGTGCTTTAAATTAGAATGGTTTGCTATAAACTGCTAAGTTGGTCTTGCATGGTCTAGTGGAAAGAACACTGGGAAAAGAGTTAGGGTCTAACTCATCCTCCACTGTTGATTTGCTATATGATATCAGACAAGTCATTAAAGAAAACAAATAAGTCTGTGCCCATTATGTGTATGCCACCGTACGAGATGCTGGGGGGGATACAAAAATGAATATAATTTGATGCTTGCCCTCTTAGAGCTTACAGTCTGCTAGTACAGGCATCCTTTCATCTGCCCATACTTGGTAATGTGGTGGAAATGATGATGGACTCCAACCTACCAGAGAGAGGAGTGTTGCAAGATGTCCCCAGTTCTCCATTCTGCTTGGTAATGTCACAGTTACTAAATGACTCCCTATAGCTATGTTTGCAGTTCTACAATCTTTCCAAAATGTCATAGTTAACCCCTGGTTATTGATTGATCTCTTTAAGACTAGTAGATGCATTACTGAGCTAAGAATTCCCCCATAGAACAGGGATTCTTAACCTTTTTTATGTCATAAGACCCCCTTGGCAGTCTAGTGAAACCCGCGACCCCTTATTAGAGTGATGGTTTTAAATGCATAAAACAGAATACAAAGAGTTACAAAAGAAATCAATTTTATTGGAAAATTTCAAAAAACAAAATCACAGACCCCCTACTTAATTGAGAGCTTCTACCTTATAATCTATGATCTCTCTCTACCCTAGAGCAACACCGTGTAAGTGTTTCTGTTGGTTTAGCTTTGCTGGCATTCCAAAGCCAAGGCCGAAAGATCCTAGAAGTCCTGGCATCTCAATATAGTTGGGGTGCAACTGTATCCACCAATGGAAGAGGTTGCCCTCTTGGTTCTAGGCTACTTAGGTCTTTTAATAAATCTTCTTGCCTTATTTTGTCATGTGTAGGATAGTAAGTCATTAAAAGATTGTTCAGAAGAGACCTGATAGATGGGAAAGGTGCAGAAATGTTGAAAGAGGCATAGGCACACTGCATTATTTCCTTTTCTCCTACATACACACTCTACTTAGTTAATACCAGAAGCAGCTGGGGAGTTCCAGATAGAGTGGTGGGCCTGGGGTCAAGAAGACTTGAGTTCAAATATGAACTCAGACATTTGCTAGCTGTGTGACCCTAGGCAAGTCACTTAATCAGATAGCCTCGGTTTCGTCATATGTAAAATAGGAACAATATCTCGCAGAGTTTTCATAAGGATAAAATGAGAAAATATTTGTAAAGTACTTTGCAAACCCTAAAGCTTTATACAAATGCCAGCTATTACTTATTCATAATTTATTATTTATATAAATTATTATTATTGCTATATTTTGTTGTTGTTGCTGTCCTTCTGCTTTGTTGTCATGCATATGATGAGAGCAGAAATCCACCAAATATCCAAATCAGTGACCTTGTTCTGGCTGAATAGTTCATCATAATTTCTTTTTGTTTTTTTGAGTAATTGTTTGCAACAGATCATTTGAATTGAAGTCCCTCATTAACCTCCTGGCACCAGACTCCAATGAGCCCTTGCCACTGACCCTCCTGACTTCCTCAGTAGGCTGTTAGCTCAGCCCCTGACCATTCCATCCTATTTTGCAGAAATGATCTGGAGAAATAATGATAATAAAAATAATGATGATAATAATGAAGAAAATGATGATTAGCTAACATTTGTATAATATTTACTATGTGCCTGGCACTGTGCTAAGTGCTTTATAAATACCTCAGTTAATCCTCATGACAATTCTGGGAGGAAGGTGCTATTATTACCCTCATTTTAGAGTTGTAGAAAGTGAGGCAAGCAGAGATTAAGTGACTTGCTGAGGGTCACACAACTACTAAATGATTCAGGGCTGGATTTGAATTCAGATCTTTCTGATTCCAGGTCCAGGTTGGCACAGAAATGAGATGCGAGGCTTTTTATTATACTAGTGCTCCCCTAATTCTGGGCAAGGCTAGATTGTACTAGAAGGACAGCAATGTAGTATTTTTTTTTCAAATTTAAAATTTAAAAAAACTGAATTTCTAGTCAAAAGATCTACATTTGGATCTTTGCTCTGCTGCTGACTTCCTGTGTAATCTTGGGCAGAAAACTTCACCAAGTGATGATATGAATTGCCCAGGGTCACAGAGGGAGTCAGCAGCACAAATTCCTTGTAAAATGAGATTGGACTAGTTAATATCTAAGGTCTTTTTCGAGTTCCAAATCCTATGGCACTTCTGTTGGTTAGAAACCAGAATTAATAATGTGTTGTTATCTTGCTATTTTGTATGTGCGCATGGACATGTTGCTTGAGGTTAGGGACAGTGAACCATTTCTATTCTAGTTGCCACAGCACAGAATAGAGTCCTGGCCTCATGATAAATATTCAGCAAATTCTAGTTGGGTTAAATGGAGTTATTATTCTTTTCCAGCAGAAATCTAAATTCTTATTTATTGTATGCTACCAT